CACACCCACACCTCACACCCACACCTCACACCCACACCTCACACCCACACCTCACACCCACACCTCACACCCACACCTCACACCCACACCTCACACCCACACCTCACACCCACACCTCACACCCACACCTCACACCCACACCTCACACCCACACCTCACACCCACACCTCACACCCACACCTCACACCCACACCTCACACCCACACCTCACACCCACACCTCACACCCACACCTCACACCCACACCTCACACCTCACACCCATACCTCACACCTCACACCCACACCCACACCTCACACCCACACCTCACACCCACACCCTTGTACAAGCTTTTTTTCAAATAATGTATCATAGGAAATTCTCAATGACCTCTTTCTACTGAGCAGATGTAATCTTAAACATTTGCATCATTCTGTTTCTTGTTCATAAGATGTTGCCAACGTTCGTCAGCACGATCAAAGTTCTTTTTAAACTCTACCCAGTTCGGATAACTTTCATCAATAAGCTCAATAGTCTTTCCATGGTGTTCTCGCGCTTCTTCATAATTGCCACAGCGATAATAAAGAAGACCTAAATTATTATACACTGTTGCTATTTCCGATGGCGAACCATTCTTCACATTCAACGCTTGTTTATAACAGTTAGCTGCTTCTTTAAACTCACTGTTCTCTTCATGTATAAACCCCATATTATTATAGATCGCAATTAAAGGTACTTGATTATCGTATATATATAGAGGTCGAGGTGTTCTTCTCTCATCTGATTCGTTAAACGATGATGGAAGTAATGGTGCAGCTTTTTTAAAGTTCTCGAGTGCAACGGATCGATCTTTTTTGTCTAATCGTATCATTCCAATTTTGTAATATAAGATGCCACGAGTCTCATTATCAAGAGCATCTTGTTTAAGCATTTTTTCATAGAACCATTCAGCTTCATCATGATTCCCAAGTTCAAGTAGTATATCACCCACTGATGAAAGATCACATCCGTTTTTAGTGTACTGTTTGAGCAATTCAGCTGATTGTGAATCGCATTCGTCGCATGGTGTTAGTTCAATTATGCATAGGTGCTTATCGAGTTTAATAGATTTAATACGCCAAATAGTACCAAGTGAAAAAAGAACTTCTGCTTCGTCTGGCTTCGTACTGCAGTCACCAATATATGCATATGGTTGTTTTATTCTCGTATCTATTTCGAATACGAATAAAACGGGTTTGTATCCCTCATTAACTTTGTTAATCTGATCATCACCGTGATAGAAAGATGCAACGTTATCAATTCTTGTTGTTGAAAGAAAACCATTCATGGAGATCAAACCACCTTTATTATCAATTAGTTGCTGTAGAATGCTTCCTGACAGCGGTTTCCCACGATACAGCATTTGTATCAATGATTTGAAATCATTTCTTTCCTCTTGTTTGTGGCAGTCAACTAACTGCTTATGCAAATCGCTTATATAAACTCGAAATGTGAACATCTGCTTCATATTTTCGGTGTGACAAGCTTGATTAACAGTACGAGAGAGGCATGAATATTCTGTATAGTATCTAATGGCTTCACATGGTCTATAAGTACATTCTAACTCGTCAATATAATCAAGTTGAGTTTGATTTCCTTGGTAAAGATCACGACAAGTTGTCCACATTTCTAGAAGTTCTTCAGATCTGTAAGATGATATTCGCCGAAGAATATCAGTCATTGTTAGAAAACGCAAGAAATTCAGTGATTCCTTAGGCAAATGACGAATAGGCATATCGTGCTTGATTGTTGGATTAAATACACTGTATGCAGGTGATGGTCTATCTCTAAGACAAGTGTTTAGGGGTTTAGGTCCTGTGCAATTCACGTTTTTGTCGCGATTCGACGATTTTTTTTTACCAATACAGTCTTGTATGTCTTCGTTTATCTGTTTGAATAATTCGTCCATGTTGTTCGTTTGATAATAAGCAAATGAACCTTTTTTTGTTGGTAAGAAGATGTATAGTTCCTGAAAGATTTGTGGCGATTGTTTTACCAATTCAATTAATGAGTCTAATGATGCATCTGAGATCGAAATTATCAGATATATAGTAGCAACAAGTCGTTCTTCATCAATATATGCATAAAATTCATTTTCGTCAACAAAGATCTGATAATAATAAAATGTTTTATTCAAATAATGTTTCATTGTGTCTTGCTGATCAGATGGTACATTAGTATCACGAAACCAAACGCCAATGAATGTTTGCTTGTAAGTTGCTTTGATCATTAATATTTAGACAATTAAGAATTTGATCTGAAACAAAGACACCAACAGCAAAAAAAGTCTATTTACAATAAAAAATAGATGAATTATTTTAGATAAAAACAACTTCAGACGTTTATATGGATTTTCGTAAAGTTTCAATCATCTGCTGGAAGTAGGAACGACACCGTAAATCAGTGGATGATTCTAGCGCTTGTCTATAGTGTTCAACAGCTGATTTGTAGTCACCTTTATGGTAATATATGTCAGCAATATTTCCTAGCGCTGTTGAACGATCAATATTAGTTTTTGGTAAAGTAACATTTGCTGTTGGATTTATAATGCAAGTTTGATCTTTATATTCAATAACTGCTGAATCAGATTTAACAGATTGAGCGAATTTTAAGGCTTCATCATATGTTTTCTCTGCTTTTGTTTTCTCATTCTGCATAGCATATATTAATGCCATATTGTTATAGATAGAGGATCGATCTGTGTGCTCTGGTGGAAGCTTGTCCAGTAAATATTCAAAATAAGCTTTGGCTTGCTGAGATCGTCTAAGAAAATATAAGTAGTTGCTATAAGTGAGCCATGATAATGGTACTTCAATCTGAAACTGAAGTTGTTCTTTTATAAGTCGAAAGTCCATGTCAGCAGGCCTTATTTTTGCATACCAAACACCATCGGGTGCCAATTTGATTGATTCTAGACGGAATACTGTACCAAGACGCAGTATGACGCGATCGGAATCAATGTCTAACATTTGTGTGCCTTCAATGACTTCTACTTGGAATAGAATGGATACGAAACCATTATCTGCTACTATGCGTGCAATCGTACGTGCTGTAAGCAGAGACTTCGTGGCGAGAACAAAAATACCAATACTAATGAATTTATTGCAGCTAGACTGCATCATTTCAAGCGTGTTATTCGAGATAGTTTTTGTAAGATATAAAGTCATCGATACAGGTATTCCGATTAAGCTGAGGACTCGTTTTTGAATGTTGACAAATTGTTTTTGTAATATGAATAGTTCATTTATCTTATCTAACTGATGAAGTCTTAGAACAATTTGTGAAAATTCTGGATCTTGAACAGTATTTTTCGTTATATCACTACCTTCATGTAATTGACTGATATAAAGTGCAGGTTCTTTTCCTTTGTTCTCAAATAAAACACCACATATGTTTTCAAGATCTTCTAATTTAAATTCTAATGATGGTGCTTTTGGCAAGATATCAATGAATAAATTGTATGTAAGAAAAGCAATCTGATTGTCATTTAGATGAGAAATTGACATTTGTTCGTGTTCATCTGTTGCAAACATATCGATTCGAGTTGTATGAATGTGCTGTTCCCGATAAAATAAAATGTCCTTGTGTAACTGTTCAGAAAGATCTTCTTGTTTGTTAAATAAACCGCTAATTTTTCTATTGTTAATCGGATATTTCAGTTCGCTTTGTTGAAAGAAGTATATAGCTCGTATTTGTGGAGAATTGAAGATTGATTGAATCGCTGTTGGAATCGTATTTCCAGAGATGATTAAAAATATTTGCGATTGTGTTTGTTTAGTAATTAGCTGAACACATCCCTGTGCATCAGTAAGTTCACTGACAGGAATTGATCTCTGATCTAAATGGAAAAGTTTCTGATCCTCACAGTGAAAAATAACAATGCGTTCATTGTGTGGTTTTTCAGTTGAAATTTTGATGACAGAAAATCGTTTTTCTAGCTGTTGAGTGTGTAGCATCATGAATAAATCAGAAGACCGATCTTTACGTAGTGATCTTCTCGCCGTTATCTGAATATCATTAACAATTTGACTACATAGCTGGTTAAGATCCGAACAAGGACCACTGGTTTTTTCCGACATTGAAGACCAACTGAATAAGGATTCTGTATCTGTAGATCCATACAAATAAATTTTTTCGACACAATAATGTTTATGTATTATTGGGATAATAGAATGGCCCTTATTTACTGCGATAATCAGATATATTGTCTTGTCATGCACAGATAATGTACTTGCAATAAATTTGAATGGGTTATCAAAACTTCTAATATCTGTTGAAAATATTTTTTGGTCAAGAAGTTTGACACCGATAGACAGGATAACGAAATTTTGATTTTCATCTACGCTTTGGAAGCATGTTCGAGAATCTATATAAAATAATCTGCTGAGTTGCTATTATTAATAGTTAAACAAGTGACTTACTCGAATCCGAACCCGATTGAATAATGTTGCTTATTTGATTGTCTTTATTCAAACGAAAGTTGATAATATCTTCAGATTCTTCACTAGATGAAAATGAAATGTAATAAGGTGCGAGTACTCTTTATATAGCATCAAAATAATAAATCGGTGATACTAGCAATTTTCGAAAAGAACAAACCAAATTCTATATATGATTAAGGCAAACAATAGATCATTGCTCGATTTCAACGACCTTTTTCAGTGCGTTTTCTCAGCTGTACGCAAAAAGCTTTTAAAAAGACAATACTAATACACCTAGGTATATGGATAATAAATCAAAATTCATAGGCTGTCAAGTCTGAAGCAGTTTTTAGAAAAAAAGAGTCTTCTATCTTGTGTCAATAAGACTTAGGAGTGGGTGTGAGTCGAAGTTTTCATTTCAACCACACCCAAACCCACACTCATACCCAAAGGAAACATTATAAAAAAACATATTGAGCAGAAACTTTGTTCAAGCATTGGAGATCCCTAGTTATACATAAATAGAAATTTCAACTTCATATCTCGTTCTCAATGGAAGCGAGAGCAATTTTAGTACATGTATAATACCCATTTTTGTTGCCTATTGCATCTCCAATGAAACTCATCAAACTCGACTAAAAAAGTTTATTCTTTTTTCTTTATTTAATAGAGGACACGGAAGTCTATTAGCTTTAACTCTTTTTTTGATTTTCTTCCTTCGCAAGTCTTGAGACATACGTCAAGAAGGGGCTGCCGGACTTTTTTTTGGGATTTATTGGATCTTTTTAAAGTTCTGGGTTTTTTTTGGATATCGTATATTATGGAAGTATGATCTGTTTTATAAGATTAACCTAAAGACATCTCAATATAAATTAATTTATCGTTCGAATTATTTTTTTCAGTGGACTTATTCTTAAAACATTATTGTATCACAGGGATTGTCATACAAACTCCCTAACATCAAATTGTTTCTCATTGAATTATTTTTCTGCCAGTGGATCCACTCTAGATGGATAGGTCTCGATTTGCATTTCCTTAATCTAGCTCCCTAACATGAATTGATGCTTCAACACATCGATTCTTTTTCTAACGAATACATTCTAAACAGAGTAGGATCGGTTTATATTGACAATCACTGTACTAAAGTTTGTGCACCTAATTAATAACACTGCATGGGTGAGTGGTTAGGGTGATGGTTTCTCAGTTCACACATCTAAGGTTCGAATCCTTATTCGGTTTACTCCTTTTTATTACTGAGACCTTTCTTTTCGTTAATATATGATACAAAAATTCCTGTTACAATCTCTATAAAACAGCTTGTTAACGCAGTCTATTGAAAGCTGAAATGTGGAACTCACATATTTCATAGTAACCGACATAATTTAGTGTAAGTTTTTTTTATGTAATAAAATATACTTTAAAGCTTGGAATAAGTGAAGTGAAACAATCAATGGTACATAAATATAAGTTTTATTTGCTTATTAACAGTGATTGACAGCACTTACAACATATCAAAATGTTTTTTTTAAATATTTTCGATATGATTCTATTGTTATGTTGTCTTTAATGTATTGAATCAAATAGAACATTGACTAGTTTATGATAAAAAATTCATTTTCTTTTCATCAAATAGCAACGCTATTGTTTTATGATATGACGAAGAAAAACAATGCAACAACAGTCAAAATAGATGAAGTAATAATTGACTATAATAATACTTCTCATGAATTGAAACAGTTACAGATAGATTCTGAAGCACTAACTACGATAAGAAAACAACATTCCCTCACTATTACTGTTATGTTCGAAGTGTTCCCCTTCGAACATAAGACGGAACGAAACGAATAATGAGTACTCCTTTCTAGTACAGTGGTTAATACGACTGCCCGGAAAGTAGGAGATGCATGGTTCGATTCCATGCGAAGGGAGATTATTCTTTTGTTCCGTTCTGTGGTCATACCATCACGTTGCTATCTCGGTGATATCAGAGTATAATATGAGAATACGAGCAATAAAGAAAAGAAATAAGACGTAACAATTACTAGGGCACATATTAGTACCTCAGTTCTACATTCTTTTCTTCACATGCTTCTCTCTTGGATCTTAAAATTTCAACCTATATTGTTCACAAAGCAAACCTCCTATTTTTGTCTGTATAGCTACGCGTGACAGCAGTATTAAAATGATTGATTTATATCTGTGGTAGCTATGGAAAACCTTTAGGCGCGGTTGCTAAGGTTTATAATGGGAAGGAAGCAACCACAAAACTTCGACTTAAAACTTACACACACAATTTTTCCCGAAAGTGTATGTGAGCTCCACAAAAAAGGAACACGACTCGATTATTGAGGATGTGAATGAACGGAAGACTGTCATCAATATTCACATCCGCATCCAGAATGACTTACACACCTGCACCTCACATTCATACCTCACGCCCGCACTCACAATTCAATTCACACCCGCAACCATATCCACAGCCCACCTTACATCTACACTCCACACCCATGCTTCTTCTAACACTCACCCCATAGAAAATCGTTGAACACGATGATTCACCTGATCGGCGACATAGAGATTGCCATGACGATCGAATGACAAACCAACAGGACAGTTGAACTGGTTTGCTCCTGCTCCTTCACCATTTCCACCCACAATGGCAGTGCCCTGTTTTGCTCCTTTAGACCAACGCATCACTCGATGATTGTACGAGTCTGCCACATAGATGGTACCCAATGTATCGACGAACAGTCCTTGAGGATGCGACAATTGTGTCAGAGCATTCCCCTCGCTTTGACCTCCAGCGACGATAATTCCTTCTTTTGCATCTTTATTCCATTTCATTACACGATGATTGAAGTAGTTTGACACGTAGACAGTCTGTTGTTGATCGACAAAGATGTATCTCGGCTCATTGAGTTGATTGAGACCAGCACCTCGGCCATTGCCGCCAGCCACGAGAGTACCATTTTTGTCTCCTATTTGATATCGTCTTACTTCATCTTTGTCGTA